CATATATTTTTAGCAATCGTGGTTATATAATGTATCAGCCCAGTAGAGATTAGAATCCAGAAGTTCTGCACAGGATGGTTCCAGCCTGACATATTCACACCACACTGACACAAGAAAAAAAAACAAAACAAAACTGTGAAGTGAAGGTTCTCCCGATAGGGAAGGAAGGTTATGCAAAATGTCTTACATACATTTAGTCCAGTCATTTAATGTAGGGAAATGACTCTACTACACTCTGATAAGCCCAATGCATTGCAGGTAAAAATGAGTTAGCACATAGTAACTATTATATAATCAATCATAATGAGTGTACTAGTGTGACCTTTGGCCTTCGCAACAAAGTATTTGACATAAATTTTGCTTGTGGTCTCCGTCGTCCATGGTGCTTACTTCAAGTGATTCTAGATACAGGGTGAGGTGGGAGGGACATCATGGCAACAAGGACATGTGCCATAGGTTACTTATCTCACAGTAGAAAGACACAGAGGGATGCAAAGAGACTGAGGACCAGATAATTTCATGACAGTGAGGTCCCACCTTCTAAAATTTCCCCTACTGCTAGCTAAGGACCATATCTTCTACATATGAGCTCTGGAGGACATCTCATATTCAAACCATAACACTGAGTCACTATGTAAGCCATTTTTTTTTAAATAAAGAATTTCTATTTCTTCTGTTCATTTCATCATGAAACTGACTTTTGTGGAGAGGAATTTACACATTTGTCTAAGTGCAAACTGACCAGAATATAGAAGTAAAACGACATAACAATGAATTTTGGAAACGCACTTACGTATAAACAAACATATGGATGTGGTGGTATTGTGTTCCCCAAAATATTGTGTATCCTAATAAACTTATCTGGGGTCAGAGAACAGAAAAGCCACAATATTAAACATAGAGGTTAGGCAGTGGTAGCACACGCCTTTAATCCTAGCATTCCAGAGACAGAAATCCCTCTGGATCTCTGTGAATTCAAGGCCTCATTGGAAACAGCCAGGCATGGTGACTCACGCCTTTAATCCCAGAAAGCAGCCTTTAATCCCAGGGAGTGGTGGTAGAAAGCAGAAAGGTTTATAAGGCGCTGAGGACCAGAAACGAGCAGCATTTGGCTGGTTAGGCATTTGCCTGGTTAAGCATTTGGCTGGTTAAGCATTCAGGCTTCTAGCAGCAGTTCAGCTGAGAGCCATTGGGATGAGGACACAGAGGCTTCCAGTCTGAGGAAACAGGACCAGCTGAGGAATTGGCAAGGTGAGATAGCTGTGGCTTGTTCTGTCTCTCTGATCTTCCAGCATTTCACCCCAATAACTGGCCCCTGGTTTAATTTTATTAATAAGAACTTTTGAGATTCATGCTACATATGAAAAATATTTTCAGTAGCATAAACAGAGCAAAATAAGCTATATGAGAGGTGGGTTCAGAGTGTTAGTAATCAGAGAGCTAGGTGTAATAATTCAGAAAAAATAATTTCCAACCAACTGGATTTCCAAAGAAAAGCTGTGATATAAGATACTGTGTTCCTGAATATGTCAGATCAGTCCTCCCCAAAGCATATCCATTGTGGTGCAAAACAGACAATGCTTATCGAGTACATTCACTCTTACAATGCCTCCTAGTAAATGGAGACACTCAGTGAGGATGTGATACTCGAAATTCATAATAACATTTGTGATTTCATCAACATAGAAAGAGCTGAACATCATGGGGACATGAGGACATTAACACAATCAGGCAGCACGTTTGCCTTTTGGTATGTTTTCAGAATCCTCAGTAGCAACGCATGTGACAATGTGTTTTGTGATTTTTTTTTGTTTGTTTTTTCCAGCATTGGATCATTTAACTGTTTTACTTTCTGTTTCTGGCATCTAAAGAAAAAAATTAAAACCCTAGGGGAAAAAGAAATATTGTTTCTTTGACTAGGTACTCAGTAGTTATTTTAAGAGTCTGTCAGTCAAGATCAATATAAAGAATAAGTATGATCAGTGATAAGAATGGTAAGTAACACTGATTAACTTACAAAGACAAAGAGGCTTTCCAATAAAGATTCCATTCAGTTCAGTGTTTAATGTTCCACTTTGGTGGCTTTGTCTAACATCACTAGATGACAGATGCATCCTGTGTATGTTATAAGCCAAACTGATGATCTATCAATTTATATTATTATAAGTATTGTTATCATCAGTATTATTATAAGTTAATGGTTCTTAATATGGTGTAGATGCAAATCCAAGGAGCTGTTGATGACTGCAGTATTGATATGAACACATATGATCGGGAGAGGTCTGAACGTATTCGTACTTCTTAAACTGAGTGTGGAGGAATGATTTGTGCTTCTAGTGAGACAGTCTCTGCATCACATGGCCATGAACAAGCAAACTTCTCATTCAGAGTCTGACTAATATTAGTTCTGATATTATAGGTGGTTGCTGTGGAGGGAATCAGTAAGAGTAATTGTCATTTCCTTGGAAAAATTTAATCCACAGATGGATCCCAACTGCCACAATATCTAAAACTAATGGGAAATGTGTGTGTGTGTGTGTGTGTGTGCTAAATAAGGCCTGAATCAGCCAAAAAAAGGTAGACTGACTAGAGAAATCTGTATCACTCACTGCTCCAAAAAATAGCATATTTATCCAAGTACTAATGTTTTGGCAGCCTAGAGTTTTCCTAATAGGGACAGAGTGAAAAGGTATTTATTAATTAAAATGCAGTTACTTTCTCTTTTAAATGCAAGGGAGATATGCAAGTCTATCTATCATACACCGAAAATGTTTTAGTCAAAATTAAATCCTTCATGTTTGTTTAAGTAAACAATGAGGGGAAACGTCTATCAAGACTGGGAAGTTGCTCGCAAAAATCTAATTTTCCTGAACTATCTCCTCTACGATACCTGCCTTGTGGCCTCTCATTCATCCAGTCCCAGGGAGAGGAGTGAGAATAAAATCGGTGGTTGACAGAAAGACTAGGGACTGTATTATATATACCTCTACAGCTAAAGGTGTACATCCAAACAAAAGTATAGACTATTGTGCTCATTCCTTTAATGACCTTCCTGTTCCACGAAGCTGTCTTGGCCTGGGGTTTATTCATTTTACTGAGTAGAATATTAAAATAACTGCAAACCAAGATTCTGAAAAATACCTTTTCTGGGTAGCAGGGCAATTTCACAAGGAGAGCCTTACCTGTGGGGGCAGAGGATGGGGGAGTTTGTGTAGTTTGGAGAATTCTTCCCCATCTATTTATGCAATGAGTCACAGCACAGAAGAAAGGAAAAAAAAACATAAATGAGCTGATAACTTCTTCTCTATGCCTTGGCTAATGAAGAGTTACTTTTCTTCCTGTCTCTAGATTTAGGCTACATCCTGGGTTCTAATATAGTCATCTTCATTGCAGATTCAATCCAAGCAATTTATAAATTATACATGGCTTATTCTATGATAAAGGAGACCTACCTCACCCGTGGGAGACAATATCCTGGTGTACAAAGCTTGAAAAGGTAACCAACCCTCAGTAACAGAGCTTGGTGTAAATGCAGTCCTAACAAACAAACACCATTTGACTATCAAAACAGTCGCAGGCTTCCATGACCTATTCCACACCCTCTTAAGTGTCTCTCACTCAGTACTAGGAAAAGAGAAAGGCTCAGTGAGAAGAAATGAAAATGTATTCACATTTCACTAGCACCTCCTAGGGGCCACGTGAGGATATGAGACTAGGAGGTGGGTATCCACGCAGCAACTCAGAACTGTTCCTTTCAACTCCCCTACACAGAAAAACGTACCCTGCTTGTACAACCAGGAATGCGAAATGCTTTGTAGAGTAGTTTGGTTACTCAACGCAATCTTTAGGGGTTTAAATAAAAGGTATGCGAGATGCTTTGGAGCTCCTGAAGCATAGTCATTAAGCCGGACTGCAAACTCCGCGGAAGATAAAGACTCCTAAACGCTGTTCTTTTAAGAACAAAGCTTCGCTATGATACCAACGTTCATATTCAGAGAGACTATGCACTCAGTTTACACACTCACTAAAGAATTAGTTTATAAACTGTCAGGATGCAGGCAAGGTTAAAGCCGAAGCTGGTTTTTGAGGGTCTGCTATGCTCTTGCCTGGTTGCTGAGAAGGGGGGCTGGGAGGCGCTGGTGCGAGGGCAGAGCTGAGAGTCTGTAGGAGTTACTGTTCCAGAGAATTCATTACTCTCTAATTGTTCTGATTTTACACGAGCAGAGCGTGCCGGGCGGTGGTGAAGAGAGAGATGAAGGGCGGACAAGGCGAGAGGAACCAGCGGCTCCCTCCCTTCCCCCCCCCCACCCCCTAGAGAAGTCCAGGCACTTTCTGTAAGTAATTCACCATCATTCAGGCGGAGAAAACAGCCTGATCAGACAAGCCATTGCTGTACTTGTGCTCATCTAAATCTTGCTGGTTACTGAGTACAGGTCCCGGGACATTTTCGCTGTTTAATTAGCGGATTATCCGCGAGCTGCAGTTGAATGCGCTGTGGTTTCCAAGGTCTATATGCAGGAGAAGGGATAGAGGGAGACGCACCCCAGTGATCATTCATTCCCTCCCTGATGCAGGCGTCTTTCTCAGGCACTGACACCTCTCAGGCCCTTACAGGAACATGTAGAGCCGGCTTCCACCCTGGAAAGAAACTGGAAAGTGTGGGTCCCATTGACCCACTAGGAAGCTTTTTGCCCAAGGCCAGGCTGCAATTAGGCAGCAGCGTGGCGGCTGAGCTTCCCACCTGTTGCTGTCCCCTCTGGGCCGCGACTTCCTCCTCCCCAGCCCTGAGCTGGACTCTCAGATCAGGCTAGGAAGCTGGAGGAAGTAGAGGAAGCCACCGCAGGTTCCCTGGCTGGCAGAGCTAGGGGCCTCGGGTGTAAGGATCCTCCTCCCCCTCCTGGTGGCGGTTCCCCGGGCTGGCGGCGCAGCCAGGTGCTCTCCGATTGGCCAACAGTGGACAGGGGGCGGAGCCAAGAAGGCCGGTTATCACAAGGACCGCCTCAAAAGCTCCCAGGCTATCGCAGAGCGCACTGGAGCCCTGGCCAGCGCGCAGCCTTCCCGGCGCCGGCAAGCAGGGTCTTGGGAATTCTTACTTGCTTCGGTTCACTCTCCTTCACAAAAACCACTGGATCTTACATGCTTCTGTAACCCCCACTTCCACTCCATGTCCCTATGATCCTGTGCCAGCAACAGGTAAGGGCTTCTGTGGTTTTTTCCTCTCCTCTCCTCTTGTCTGTGTGTGTCTAGGGCAATGGAGTTGCGCCACAGTCCCCTACCCTGCTGTCCCCGCTGTTCTGGAGGTGCCCATCTGTCAAGCTGCTGTAATGCTTTCCTCTGCAAGCTTTGGAGTCCCCCCCCCCCCCCCCAGGCTCATTGCCTATATAGTTTGTGTGCGCACCAGAACATCCTCAGAGCTAAAAATACTGAGACATGCTTGGAAGAGTTGAGCAATAGAAACAGATTTCTCTGCAGCATCTGTTTGTGCTCATAACTTCCAATGCACCAGCTGTAGCGAGATACTGGGGTTTAGAGGCAAGCGCGAGCCTGAAGCGGATTCTTCCTCTTACTGGGGGATCCAGGGAGGAAGAGAATGTAATTGTGGATTGGAGGTCCCTCTTGAGCGCTGGTCTCAGACAGCGAGACTCAGCACTTATTCTAGATCCTTGGTGTGTGTGTGTGTGTGTGTGTGTGTGTGTGTGTGTGTGTGTGTGTGTGTGTGTGATGGGGGTAGGGAGTCGTTGCTTCAAATATAGCACAGAGTTCCAGAGTGAACACCTCAAGTCTCAGAGTTCCTTTGCTGAGAAACAGAGTAGGAGCCAGTGTTGGATTTTAGCCTGAAGAATGGAAAACTTTCCCATCCTATGTCAGTCTGTCCTAGGCACTTTGCTATTCTTAGTAATAATGGTGTAAATTCCTCATCTGAAGACACTGTGGTTTTAGGGAAGCAATAATCAGAGCGACATGATTCTGAAAAAAAAAAAAAAGACTGCATCATAACATGGATTCCTTATGACAGTTGGAGGAAAAACCGAGATAGGAAATGGGCAGATGCACATCTGTATGGTTCAGTCTGTCAGTAGAGACATGGAGGAGACTGTTCCCTCCAAAGGTTTTCACAAACTCTGAATGTACCTGACATGAAATAAAAGTGTTACTTGAAAACCTGTTTTGGTTAAGACAAGAAGGGAATTAATATCTCCTTTTATCATATACTGTCTCTTCCCATTAATAATTAATAGGCTGTCATAGTTCCCTTTGTTAGCCCGCTCTGTATGTGCCCTGTGAGCACCAATACACTTGTTCACCTAGTCCTCATCACAACCAAGGGTTTTATTTTTATGTTTCATTATGCAGGAAAAAAAAATCCCCACGCCCAGGAGAGAGACAGGTTACTTCAAGTATGGTGGAAACGGTGACAGTTGGGGTCAAGGTCATTTCACTTTGTTTTGTACCTTTAACTCCATATTGTGTGGTATTCTTTTATTTTTATGTTATTGATATCTGCAAAGATACTTGTTTTACACATTTGCGAAATTACACAGACAAACAAACAAACAAATTAGTCAATTGACACCTTTCAGACATTCCTTATCAAAACTCTCTGGTCAGCTGTCTTTCTCTGACTTCTGATTAGTTTAAAAGATTGACCCTATCTTTACCTGAACTTTGGACCATTTTGAGCTTTTGAAAAGAGATGAATTTTTGTTTACTGAACACCAGTCATCTTTGGCATGCAATAAATGCCTCGAGTTGCCGCAAACATTGCTGTGTATAAATGTTGGAGGCAGCACTCACGTAGATATAAATGGGTGTCTCCTCCCCACCCACCCCCCTTTCTGTTTACTGAGCTTCACAGAGGTTGCTCTGCAGCAATAGGACTCACATAGCAACTTATGCCCAGAGCACTCTGGGACTGGTCTGCATGGCGTCAGCTGGGGAATAGCTGCTTAAGCACTCATTAGCAGACTTCTCTTACCCAGCATCTCTTCTTCTGCTATGTCCTGTCTTTAGTCAGAAACTTACATTTTCACTGAGAGTCAATGACCCTCCTATGGGACACTATGATTCTCATTTATTCTTCCTAAGTACCTCTATCTAGTTTTTCACATGCTCTACTGGAGGTATTTCTTATGTAGAAAACAATTCGGATTCTCGCATTTTTACAATGTGATTTTACCCCTGTATTTGTGCATAGTTCTCTCTCTCTCTCTCTCTCTCTCTCTCTCTCTCTCTCTCTCTCTCTCTCCCCCCAGGCCTCTCTCCCTCAACATCTACCTAAGATTGAGGCGCTGGACTATTTTTTCCATTGCTTATGCTTAATTTTGGATCAGCCTATAAATAGTCTTAACATGAACAGCACCACATGTAGCCTCTCAATTTCCCAGAAATACTTTGTACCTCATTGGTTATGGCTTGGGTGAAATGAGTATTCATGTCCATTGAGTTTAGAACTGAGGCTTTAAATATTTGAGCTTAAAGGGAATTTGTATATTACTCACCAAATCCATTATAAGCTCTCTGGAGCTATACCCATCAAGGAGGCAAGTGTATCTGAATAAATTACTAGTTTGCTGTTTTTCAAAAAAATTTGGAATAAACCTGCGTGGAAGTCCTATTTTTTAATGAAAGCTTTTCCCAGATGTTTATGAATTGGTGATTCCCACTGAGGGAGGAGAGGGCAAGAGAATTTTCTTCTTGCTTGAGGTGACTGGGACCTGTGGGCAGGTCAAGAGCAAAAGTAAAGTGAACTATATGGACAGTTAACGTGTCAGAGTGTAGCATGTTCTAGACTTTTGTAATTGTAACCAGCTCCATAAAGTTTGAAGACATATGACATGTGTGTGTGCACACGTACAAACATTACTCTGCTTGGGTTTGACATGTGTTTGACATGAGGAAATTTTCTATTTCAAGGAAAGAAAGGAAAGGAAAAACTTTTTTTTTCCTTTCCAGGAAGCCCTGGTAAGACCTGAAAATGATGTGCTAGCATGTGGAACAAATTCTGCCATTAGCAATGGAAATGAGACAATGACAGCCCCCTCAGTACATGCTATTTGCAAGGTTCCAAGTGGGGAAAGCTATTCATAGGAAACAGCTATTGTGTGACTTGTGGAATTCAAACAGATGTCCTAGGATGGAGATTTTGGAAAGTCCTAATTGGGCCTTTAGAGTTCATAGGGTTGTTAAGTTCTTATCTGGAAAGAGGCAGGAGTCAGTGTGAAGAAATCCGAGAGTCTGTGCATGACGCACAACGTTAATGCAGAGAAAGGCTTCTTTTGAATAGTGAAAGGGGAGTTGATTGGTGTTAGTTTATTGTAAAATAGTTTAAAGTCAGTTGTAACTCAGATACACTCTCTGAAGGGACTCCTTTGTCCCATTCCGACGACGTTTTAAAGAAAAGCACACCTGCATTTGGTGTCATGCTGCTGTCTCCATGTTTGGGTAGAAACATTTGGCAACATTATGTGAGCCAAATCATCTGAAAATACTGTTAACATATTTCTTTCCAAGTCCAGGGTCTAACCTCTGAGGACTATGATTCTTTATTCCTTTGTCCAAATGCACACTTCACAGAGAAGCAGACAAAACACCAAAGCAGGGAGAAGGTAGGGAAGGCACCAGGCACCGGAACTTCTTTTTATAAAGCAATTCAAAGGCGTTTTCAAATAAAGCATCATTTAGGTGTCAAGAGCTGCCAAAATGTAACACACATTGCCATTTCCACAGATGACTAATCTCAAGAAAAATAAGTTGGTGTATGTCTTGATAATAATGTAGATATAACGGGAGAAGTCAGAGGACTAGAACACGCCATTTCCAGACACAATGCACCTTGCCTCCTTGTAAAGGCCTGCATGAAATAAGGACAAATGGGTTGCTTTCTGTGTCTGCAGCTGGCTTGGCTGAAAATGGTTCTGTTGACTGATCCATATTCATGTGCCTTCTGTGGGAAATCAAAACTGGAGCCCCCTCACCAAGGCCTCAATACATTTCTGATCCTTTCTATTGTCCCTCTTAAAAACAGGACAAGGATTTGGTGGTTTGAAAAGTTGGAAATCACTTTCAGTTTTTAGTTCTAGGCTATATTAATATTAATCTACTTCTAGACTTTGCTAATACATATTGCATAAAGAAAACACCTTGACTGCTTCTTAGTCATTCTTTCCTTTCTTTCTTTCTTTCTTTCTTTCTTTTCTTTCTTTCTTTCTTTCTTTCTTTCTTCCTTCCTTCCTTCCTTCCTTTCTTTCTTTTTTTCTTTCTTTCTTTCTCTCTCTCTCTCTTTCTCTTTCTTTCTTTCTTTTTGTTACAGGAAAATGTAGGATTTTTATTGTTTTGTTTTGATTTTGGAGTTGAGGTAAAGTCAAAGCGAGTAGCTAAATTTTACCTGGGGCAGAATGAAGCAGTGGGAGGAAGCTGGAAGCTACTATTTGTTCATGTTAAGTAAAGGTGAGTGCCTTCTCCATAGGAACCTACAGCAAACAAGAGCACTGGAAGTGAAAGTAAGCTGACTGGCATTTATGAGCTACTTTGATTACAAAGTTGTCTCTGTTGGAGAGAACACAGCCTTGAACCCACATGAAATGAGCTCCTGCCTTATCTCAATCCGCTAAAGACCTGGGCCTTTGGAACAGAGGTGCTTCCTCCCTACCCTGTCATTACACATGGCAATCCCATCTCTGGAGAATTTCAGGACTCATATTGCTAAGCAACAGAAAGGCTCTCTATCCCCCAGAGCAAATCTGTGTCTTCAAGTCAGAATCGCTTGCATTCAGGGAGATGGTATCAGACATTTCTGCACAGTGCCTGCTTCCAGTGTGGGGAGAGATGGAACAAGTACAAACAGTATACACAAGTTAGGATCCATTTCAAATGCTACAAAGGACTGTCTGCCCAACATTACTACTGAAACAAAACTGTCTGTGCCTATAGATGTCAACTTTGTCAGCAAGGGCTGGGACATTCTCTCTTAACACATATGTAACTGGACTAATATCCAGGCTGCTCTTAGGAAATGTTCTCTAGACATACCCTACTTTTAGACACTGATACAAACCTTAGAAATCAGAATGATTCTTCTGTTTATTACCTTGAGAACCTGGAAGAGAGTAAGAGTTGATAGGTATATATGGATTATAGAATATTCTAGATTGCTGACAAATAGCAGATGAATAGGGAACTGAAATTTTGGTGGGATGACTAGCAGAGGTACTTCATCTATGTTCAGTGACTGCATTTTTAAATAAAAAATTAAAATATAATTTATAGGAACAAAGAAAACTCCACACAATCCAATCCAATTTGTTTGTGTCCTGTTCTGTTTTTGTTAAGATGGGGATATTGTCTTAGACAGTAGGACTCCTTTAAGTATGGCTGTTTTGTAATGAATACTCTCTTTTCTTGCAGGACAAGTTCTCTGGGTGTCAGCTGAGTTACTAAGGTAACTCTACTGGTCAAAAGGCAAACCTTGGTAGAACCTCAAGGTCCTTTGGAAGCATCCATCTCTCCTCTTTTTTTTTTTAATTTTTGGTGTGTGTGTCTTCACTGAACATTCAAAACTGTTTCTTCAAAGGGTTTTGCAAAAACTTAGACTGTTTTCTAAAGCAGAAACACTGGCGTCCACCGCGGAAGCAATGGGCAGTGTGCGAACCAACCGCTACAGCATTGTCTCTTCAGAAGAAGATGGCATGAAGTTGGCCACTATGGCAGTGGCCAATGGCTTCGGGAACGGCAAGAGTAAAGTCCATACGCGGCAACAGTGCAGGAGCCGCTTTGTGAAGAAAGATGGGCACTGCAATGTCCAGTTCATTAATGTGGGTGAGAAGGGACAGAGGTACCTGGCAGACATCTTTACTACCTGTGTTGACATTCGTTGGCGATGGATGCTGGTTATCTTCTGCCTGGCATTTGTGCTCTCCTGGCTGTTCTTTGGCTGTGTGTTTTGGTTGATAGCTCTGCTCCATGGGGATCTGGATGCTTCTAAAGAGAGCAAAGCTTGTGTGTCTGAGGTCAACAGCTTTACAGCTGCCTTCCTCTTCTCCATTGAGACCCAGACAACCATAGGCTATGGTTTCAGGTGTGTTACAGATGAGTGCCCAATTGCTGTTTTCATGGTGGTATTCCAGTCAATCGTAGGCTGCATCATCGACGCCTTCATCATTGGCGCAGTCATGGCAAAAATGGCAAAACCAAAGAAGAGAAATGAGACTCTTGTTTTCAGTCACAATGCTGTGATTGCCATGAGGGACGGCAAACTATGCTTAATGTGGAGGGTGGGCAATCTTCGCAAAAGCCACCTTGTGGAAGCTCATGTCCGGGCACAGCTACTCAAATCCAGAATCACTTCAGAAGGGGAATATATTCCCTTGGACCAGATAGACATCAATGTTGGTTTTGATAGTGGAATTGACCGTATATTTCTGGTGTCCCCTATCACTATTGTCCATGAAATAGATGAAGACAGCCCTTTATATGACTTGAGTAAGCAGGACATTGACAATGCAGACTTTGAAATTGTTGTCATACTGGAAGGCATGGTGGAAGCCACTGCCATGACGACACAATGCCGGAGTTCATATCTGGCCAATGAAATTCTCTGGGGTCACCGCTATGAGCCAGTGCTCTTTGAAGAGAAACACTATTACAAAGTGGACTATTCAAGATTCCATAAGACTTACGAGGTACCTAACACTCCCCTTTGTAGTGCCAGAGACTTAGCAGAGAAGAAATACATCCTCTCAAATGCGAATTCATTTTGCTATGAAAATGAAGTTGCCCTCACAAGCAAAGAGGAAGAGGACAGTGAAAATGGAGTCCCAGAGAGCACAAGTACAGACTCACCTCCTGGCATAGATCTTCATAACCAAGCAAGCGTACCTCTAGAGCCCAGGCCGTTAAGGAGAGAATCGGAGATATGACTGGCTGATTGCGTCTTTGGAATATTTATGTCGCTGCACAGTCTGTTGCTGGTCAGAGATCCGGGACAGTTATACAGACCATGGTACTGGTCAAGAGGTGGGTGAAGGTGAGCAGCCACAAGAGACTAAGGCTAGCACGAAGGTTTCAAGAAAAGACTGTAAGCTGGATGACTGATGTAAAGTGCTTTGCAGGCCTCCGAGTGACCCGATGGCACATATCTGTTGTAGAATGAGTTGTGGGATTTTAAATGTATTGTTTTGTGTTTTTACAAAACTTGAATATGCAGGCAAGCCTCAGTTTTGGTATTTAGCTTACCTGGAATGCTTCTCTTTAGGGGAACAAGGATGATTTTAATGGCATAACACAGGCAAGACTCTGCCTTAATTTTTTGAAAAGCTGCTAACTACATGAACACAAACTGTATTTTTGTTGCAGTGTGGTTTATCTTTTACATAATTTTAAAAAGTCAGTGTTGAACATTGTTGAAGGCGCACAGTGTGCTTCAAAGTGTCAAGTATTTGGCTATTAACTGCCAAAATGAGAGCCTGATTTTCTGAGGCCAGTAATTTGTTTGCTAAAATTGATCTCTCTGATCTCCAATCTCTCTCTCTCTCTCTCTCTCTCTCTCTCTCTCTCTCTCTCTCTCTCTCTCTCTCTCTCTCCCTCTCCCCACTTTCTCGTTACGTAAGGGCATTATGTAACACTAGCCAAATGGTAGCCTCTGGGTTTTATACTTTTCCTTTCCACGACACTAATAGGTTATCTCAAATTTTCAGTTAGATTACCTAAAATAAATACCAAAGATAATGCACATTTTTTTGCACAGTGGAGTTAATATTAAAAAGGAAAAAAAAAGCCCCATGGGTTGTCTGGGAAATCCAGAGACTAACTTTGAACCTCAACAAGATGTTGAACAGCCTGTTCGTTCTGCACCTTAGTCTGAAAAAGAGCATCAAAGTCGATAAATGTGTGTTTTCAATTTTGTTCTTCTGTGCATCCTTCTTATTTGAAGAGGAAGGGAAAAAGAACATGGGTCACACCTACATGCACACTGTACTAACGTCTTTCTTTCCCTGATAGATAGTGTTGATCAGGCTAATGTATTCAAAGGAGAGAGAGAGTGATACTCAGACATTTCTGAGCTTTCCTCTTTCTGCACATTCCAAAGCTTATTCCATAAGATCAGATCTTGCTTGAACTTTGTGGTAACCTGGCATTCTCTAAACAGAGACATCCAGCATGGAAGATAGATAGATTTCAAATTTTGCAGCTGAATCATGGCCTTGACTGTCAGAGTATTTCTAGCTTGGTATCATATTAGGAAAGATATCTGGCCTCTAGGCTTGTCCTTCTGAGGCATCTGCAGAGAATCAACATGGACTAAATATGACAAAGCAGGGGATTTCTCTCTCTCTCTCTCTCTCTCTCTCTCTCTCTCTCTCTCTCTCTCTCTCTCTCTCCCCCCCCCCCTCTCTCTCTCTGTATGCGCACGTGTGTGTGTGTGTGTGTGTGTGTGTGTGTGTGTGTGTGTGTGTGTTTATGTGTGTGCCACTTCAATGCAAAAATCTGCTTTATAAGGGAGAGGGAAGCTGCCTTTTTAATGGCAGAAGGTAGGAGAGAATGTCTCAGTATTTTAGAGTCTTAGTGAGCCATATAAACACAACACAATTACAAGCTAATGAGTTAATAGTCCAAAGGGTTATTTCTCTCTGTGTACACACTCATGATTAATGTGAGCTGGCCATTGTCTCTTATACAGTCCCAGAGCAGGTTACCAAGGACACATTATTTTCTAGAACCCTCTTCTGCCTCGTCACCTGCCTTGATGAAAACATCTCTCCCCACCCTCAATCTAGCCCAATAATGCAAGTCTCCCTTCCTTTCCATCTTTAGATTTAAAAGTCCCCTACTTGTGGATCCTAGGGCTGCTAATTTTGCTTTTTAGTTGGAGTCTGAAAATCAACTCTCTAATGGTATTGCATCCTAATATGCCATTAAAAATCAGCTTGTTCTAGAATCATGTATTTTGTTTCAGTTGATGATTGTGCTGGTCTGTGGCTTGTGAGCAGCCGTATCTGAATGCAGTGCCTGTAAAATGATGACAGTTTCTGCTGTTTTCAACTATCTTAAGTCAATGGTTTGAGAGCTCTGGGTGTTATTTATCATTGAAATCAAGAGGGAAGTGTTGAGAAAGGGGTTCTAATTGTACATCCATGTGTAAAGGCAGGGTTGGGAAGTTGCTTGAAGAGTTGGAAGAGTCAGTTGAAGAGAAAACAGACTGGCTTTCGACAGTGCGAGGCCATGGAGGGCTTCAGATGCTGCTATTAAGGTGATTTGCAAAGGAAAACTATCAAACCAAAGAGTATTCAGTGGAATGTAAACCACATGAAGATGCAGTGGAGAATAGAGGTGACCACCTGGAGTTTCCTCCAAACATACAGTGCTACCACTTAAAAAGACTTGAGCTATTTGAAAAGGGGTGGGTACAGGGACAAGAAAAGAGGGAGGGGAATCTTTCAACTCATTTCTTAAAAAGAAGAAAGCATCTAAAATTTCTGGTGCATAGGTTTGTTTTTCTTTCTTTTTTTTTTTTCAAGAAACTTTTGCAGAAGCTACATTTTTGAAGTGTACATTTTATAAAGTTTATCAGATATTTTCATATTTAAAGCCAAATGTAAATAGAAATCTGTAAAGGAAAAAAAATACAATACCATAGGAGGTTTAATTATAGCAGGGGTTCTGAGAGCTAGCACCTATTATGCTACCGGTTAGCATGGTTTTAGTGGCTATTACCAGCCTTTGGAGGTTCGTTTTGGTATGTTCTTCTGTTATTTATTTCAGCATGGACTGTTCTTTTGAGAGCTTTTTGTAGTTACTAGCATTTTAATAGTTACAAGCTTTAAATGGCTTTTTGTTTTGTTTTTGCCAAGAGCCAAGACATAGGTAATGCACGGCATTTCTCCCTGCATTTTTACCTTCAGAATATCTGTCTTTATTGACTGGGCCTCCGGAACTAGTGTACACAACTGCCACTAGTAAGCAGATGGAGAGACTCACTTTGAACATCTGGGATTCATTCCCAGATGCCCGTTGCTTCCCTGCTGCAAGCAAATCCCTCTAGGATGTATTCCCTTTTAAAGAATGTTTGCCCATATCTGGATGGGCATTATATATATTTTTTTGGAGGGGGGAGGCATAGATTCCTGGTTATTCTATTTTTAAATAAAAGGTAGACAAAGTGAATTCTATTTTGATTATTGAGAAAGGAATAGTTTTCTATCCCTCTAAGAGTATACTTGAATCAGACATTTTTAGAATGTCGTATAGCACTGTAGTCATTTCCAAATCCCTAGAGAAAGTTCCTTTGACTCCATTCTTGTTCTGTTAGTGCATTATTCATTGTCTTTCACTTCCTTTCTCCCCATATACTCCCTCCCTAAATCTTGCTGTGTGTCTGATGACCTTGGTTCCCCAAAGATGTTCCTCTTGTAGACAACAAATGTCAGCTTTTATCTTATAATCAGTCACCTCCTAAAAGCAAACAGCTCATCCAAAGGGGTGGCTTAAGCTCCCCATCACTCTGTTTAATGACGTTAAGGTGGAAAGTATAAAAGTGTTGCATTATTACATCCCCTCCCACAACCTTCCATAAACTAGAGTTTCTTTCCTAGGAATGTTAGGTTTCAGCTCTGGGCTCTGGCGAGATGAACAATCCTAGCCTTTGACAATCATGATAGTTATTATTTTCCCATCTGCCATCTTTTTGTACCTAAAGTCTTCCTATTGCACTGCACAAACCATGGGTTGTACATATTTTTTATATATTATGTCTTATTTTATTATTTCTAAATAAAAAATAAAATTGAAAATGAAGTTGTGGAAGTTTCTTTGGATTTCTTGTATGATTGCTGTAGAAAGATTGAAATTAATAGTCTCAGACAATGGGACATAAACTCTGGTTATTTGAATGAACAGAGCCATAGAAATTGCCTGAACACGCAGGTGCAGGGAACTGGCAGATTAGTTTAATCCAAGTTAGAGGAAATCAAGCTTGTATTTGCTTTGGGACAGAACAGCTTAGAGGATAGAAAAGGAGGAAAAAAAACAAAACTGAAGAAAATGGTTTGTATTTTGATTACTAACTTATAGTAATTGCATTTTGTTGACCCTTGACTGTAAGTAGGTCCTGCCTTGTGTATTATTTATCTTTTCTTTTCTTTCTTCCTTTTTTTTTTAAAAAAAAAATTGAGGCAATATCTCATGTAGCTCAGACTGGCCTCTGAATTATCTATGTAGCCAAGGATGGCCTTGAACTTCTGATTTTCCTGCATCTGCCCCCAATGATGAGATTCCAGGCATGAGTCACCATGCCTGGTTTATTTGGTGCCAAGGATAGAACCCTGGGGGCTGTGTGGATGCTAGGCAAACACTGTGATAACTGAGCTACATTTCCACTCTATTTCATCTTTCCTACCCAAAATAAAATCAAGATATTATTGCATGTTTAGTGTAGAACTAGGAAGAGAGATGTGGTAACCATTGAGAGAAAATATTTTGACTTTCTGGGCCTGAGGGCTTTTGTCTTAAGCCAGCAATATACTCTTATAGTCCAAAAGCAGTACAGTCACAGACAACAGGAGCAAAAATGAGCTAGTGTGTTTGAGCAAAAAAATGTGAGATATGAGTACAGAAAGTTGGCCATATTTGGTTGTTTGCCTATGACAAAGAAAGTTAGGGTGAATTTTAAAGCTAAGAAATCACTGAGATGGGATTTAAATTCATTTGATCTGCTACCACTATACTGCTCATTGTTTCAGAACACAACATTCCCAACCCTAGATTGTCTCTGAGAAAAAGGGTCATTCCTTCTAACAAGTCACCAATAAAATGTTTTCCAAATCTGGAGACAGAAGGGATTCTCTTAGCCCTCAAGATATGCTTCTTGCTGTTTCTTTTACTCGGAGAACCCTTTAATATGTGGTTCTAAGTTCTTGGCAAATAATAATTTCATCCTAACAGGAAAACTACGTGGCTCCTGTTCAATCCCGACTTGAGAAATGAAGTGACCAAGGTCTGGAGAAGCACTTTGCACAAGCTCTTAGCCAGAAGGCCGAGGAAAGATGGGGAGATGCTCTAACAGTAGAATGTGCTGAAGCTTAGACTACTCCTCCTTTATCATCTGGACAGCTGGGGATGAGGGGTCACTTATAAGAGGTAGAATCACAGCATGTGCAAACACCAAGTTTGTGACCTGTATGTATTTCAAGCTTCAGATACATTTCAGTTAGCTTCAAATAGCTCAGGCCTGTCTCTAGGCAAAACCACAAAGCTCTGCCGCCTACCAAACTGTAGGTACCTAACCACTTCATACACTTCTGCTTTCCCCCTGATGTGGGCAGCCAGAGGGTGACAGAACACTCCTGTGGTTCGGAGGAGAAAGAAGAACATGGCATGATAAAGCCAGGAGGATGCAATAAAGACCCCATCTCTGTGTCCATTCATTCATTTGTATGTACACACATATACGTGTATTTTTGTATGTATTCAGATATTAAATATAATAATATCCATAAATAAACTTCCAAGTTGAATTTCAGAAATCCTTTGTTGAAGAGAGGAGCCTTTGAGTAGCTTACATTCAAGTCTTCCAATCTCCAGCCTTTGTAGGCCACAGTTCCTTGGATAATATATATGAAGAAGGAAATGTATTTAATTCTAGATGATCCCACTTTAGAGCTACGGAAATTGATTAAATCAACTGGATTTGTTTTTGTAAAGTTGAACACACCTACACATACAGAGGGAACACCAGCCCCACATATCAAGGCCTGATGCACATGGTTTGAAATTTCTCTAATGTTTTTCTCACACGACCCCAGTGAGCCTAGTAATTCTAAGACTTAAAGCCCTGTCTGAGGTTTGTCCTTAATGACTTTTTCAAAAACAGTTTACATCCCTTTAAGACAGAGATGGACTAAAACTATTAGAGTATTTAGCTCTGAAATAAGGTAATGGTTTCCCAAGGTGCTGGCCTTTTAGAGCTAAGATGGGTAGTGTTCAGTGAAAACTGGGAGGGGGCAGTTCTGCTATTTGGAAGCTGGAGAAGTAAGATGACTGGTGAGGAGGGGGACAGTTAAGGAGAATGTGGAAGGGAGGAGATTAAGCTAGGTGAGCCAGCTCCAGCATGGGAGAGTTACCAAATCCCAAGGAGAATAATGATGAATAATTATACATAAGTGGCTCTCTCCAAGTAAGAAAATGTGTAGCCTCAGGGATATTCATTGTTTGGAGGAATGATTTTCTTAAATTATAATTCTTTCTCTGGTTTAAAATAATGATATATATTATTTAACATTTCCTTGGGTTACTGAAGCTAATGTGTGCCTTTCTTCATGGTGGCATCTAAGCTCCTACCTGTCTCATTTATTGTGAAAACATCAGCTGTGTTTTTGTTCACTGACAGCACAATTTAGCCTTTGCCTCTGATCTTTTGTATAAAGGAAAACAGATGAATACACTATGCTGTGCAGACCCTGTATTATAATGTCATAGACACTGTATGTCGTAAGCTCCTTTGCATATCACATGGGCTATGTAGATGATCAAACAGTTCTGTCAGACTAGCAGCAATACCATGCAAGTCAAGAGGTCCAGGTAAAACATGAAAGATCTGGTTCAAACAAGGAGTTTGTCATGATTTTACTTATCTTCAGAAATCTTTCTGTTTCCTCTCCTTCCCTGTCCCTTCTCACCATCACACCTGCCCCCTTTTCTTCCTTCATGGCACTGGAGACTGAATCCAGCATCGTTTGTACCAGGCAAGCAGTCAACCACTGAACTGAATTCCATCTCTATTCATCATTTAATTTTGAGACAGGCTTTTACTGAGTTTCCCAGGCTGTCCTTGGATTTATATTCTTTATATGTTTCAATCTTGAGAGTAGCTGGGATCACAGGCTCATACAACCAGGCTTGGGATCAAAGCTACTTCTTATTTCAGGTTTGGGTTTCTGTTCTGAGTTCTTCAGGCTGTTCAGAAGTTTAACTTCTAGAAAGTCTATTCAACTCAGCCAAAAGAAGGATTTATTGTGTAGTTTTGGGTATTTAAAGTTTTCTATGTTGTATTTAATTTCATTAGATTACCATTTGGGAAGTGGTCAGTATGACTGCTCTCTTTGCTTTAAAGCTAGGAAATGTAGCTGTGCTTAGAAATAAGAAGTATACATATGACAGTAAGTAATAATTACTCAGAAATTACTCTCCATTGGGTCTCACAAAGATAGACCAACAGCTCTTACTGTCCATATTTAGAAACATTGACTTGTTAGTGAAGGGATTTTTAAGAGTTATCACATTATGGATTTGAGTATTTCTGCAACAATTTACTGGGGATCACTTTTTTCCAGAGCACATTTAAAAAATTAAGTGCTATTTTTATAAAGCCTGGCTGTTAAATTTTACTATTACGTAAAAAAATTAAGAACCTGGATGAAATGACAGAAGTGGAAAAGGAAGATGGCAATTGTTGAGCTAGGGAGATGGTTCAGTGGGCAAAAGCACAAGAACATGAGTTCTAATCTCGAGAAACCACAGAGAAGACAGATTGTGAACACAAATTCCTGAAATCACAGAATTCCTACAGAGATGTCGGAGATGGAGACATGAAAATCCCTGCAAGTTTTCAGGTGGTCTAGCCTTGTGTACACAATGCAGTTGTAAACAACAAGACAAGCACTGTCTCAAACAAGGTGGAAGGTGAGGACCAAGGCTGTCCTCTGACTTTGACACATGCACAGTGGCATGTCTGTACCTACATTCACACACATGAATGAGCACATACGTTGTACACAAATGTTTTTAAGATGACAAATAGCATTTTTTTTTTTGTGCAATGCTCAACCTAGATTTTTCATGCTCAGATTTCATGTTGGAAGGACTTGAAGGACTGTGTTCTCATGGACATATTCATACCTTTCTTCATTTAATGTCAGTTCAGATCCTAGATTCTGCTATGATCAGCTCTGTCCCTGGTCCCTAGGGGAAGGGCAATTGACCTTCCTTGAGTAAGCACATGAGTCCATTTTTGTGTAACAAACAAATGAATCAGTTCTCCCATTTTATAAATTTTGTTTGCCTTTGGTTTTTCACATTTTTTTCTAAGACAGTTCTTTATCTGAAGCCCCAGCTAATCTTTTTTTTTTATGTGACACTATAGCAAAAAGGGTCTCACTAAATAGTATGTAGGAGTTTATTTTAGCGTACATAGTTAGCTCCCTCCAAAAGTTACTTATAAAATCACATTATTTACCAATAGAGCCATTTCAAAGGCAAGTCCATACACACCCTGAGCAACCCACTCTTGGCAAAAGTGCTCTCAGGTGGCAGCCATTTGTAGCCAGGCAAGAAAAGGTTGACTAAACATGTCAGAGGTTTTCTTCACTCCTATTGTACATTTCTTCTGGTGGCCATGAGATCAGCAAGTACTACTTTCTGCCTCTTCCAGAAGCAGCTAGAAGTTGTAACCAGCATCACTTGAGTACCCTCACAGTCAATGAGGCAGATGAATAAGATGCCCCCGAGTTGCCATAGAAACTGGAAACAGCATCAAAGCACCTTCTCCTGCAAGCTCTTTAATTTCATCTGAGTGACTATGTTCAAGAACCAAAAATAAAAAGTGCACAAAGATGTAATTATATAAAAAGCTGTGTTCAATTATAAATACAGTATGTACTTTTGCCTCTGTCTACAGCTCACTCGCTTCTTTCTCCCATTTGAAGTCATTTGAACTATTCAGGAGAGAGTCTCCATTTTCTATTTAACTTAAGTGAGGCACAGATTTGCCAAGATAAGGGAGCTAGGCTTTCTTCTTCATG